TTCAGGATGCATCTTTGACGATCACTGAAAGCTGTTTCGATATCAGCCTTCTATGATTCACATCTTAATTTTCTCCTTTTACGTTTCCCAGTGGAACATAGGGCTTCAAGGTAGAGTTTTGAAGATTCTGTTGCAATCTTGGTTTTATTTCTACGGAATAGGATTGCTAGCCTCATGCCTAACCTTCCCTGCTTACCAGTCTTATTACTGGCTTACAGAGAGGTAAAGGAGTGCGTCTGTGGCCGGGAATCGAACCCCGGACCACACCCTTGGTTGGCGAGCACTCTACTGCTGTGCGACCAATGCACTATGATTCATATCAATAACGTATTTTACAATAGATGAGGGTGGTAATGTAATGTCTGTGTATATCAATGTTTTAGGGTTCGTTTGTTTAAAAACCATCTGGGTATATTTTTTCTTACCCTCATGTGCATAGTGAGATTACTTCTCTGTATGTATGTGTGTTGTTCATACACACACACACACACACAAACACATGTAAATTAGTATACAGTAGTGAAAATTGATTTACCAAAATGTATTTAAGACCTCTGCGTCGGTGGTATAGCGGTTAGGACGCTCGCCGACCATCCACATGGTCCGGGGTTCAACCCCCCGGCCGGCGCACTCCTTTACCTCACTGAGCCAGAAATAATGCTGGTAAAGAGGAAAGGTTGGGCATGAGGCTAGCAACCCCATCCTGTAAAAATAAACACCACTGCTACAGAAACTTCAAGCCTTCTAGCTTGAAGCCCTATGTTCCACTGGGAACGTGAAGGAAAAATTATTTATATTATTTATTATATTTAAGACCTCAAGAAGCGGTGAACAGTGTAGATTAGACGTTGTGTTGTATGAAAATAAACTGTTTAGTAAAATTATTCGTCAGTGGAAACAGCACAAAAAGATAAGTACCTAGATACATTACGCAACAGATGAACGGAATCGGACCGACATACCGTTAGATTAAAATAGAGTTAAGGGTAGTCATGAATTCCTTGACCTACAACTCAATCATATGTAGAAGATGAATTGGACACACTGAGGAGTTTAATTCCACAGTGTTACTGATGACCGTGTTTCGAGTACAATTTATTACTCCACCTCATAATCATATCAAGGTACTCACTCACATTACTTTATTTTATTTTTTGATTACAGCTTGACTCCACATCGTATTTTTGGTACAAGTGTGGAATTTTCAGCATGGATATCGGTAGCCCGAATTTTGCAGACCGACCATAGATATCAGGTGGGCGTCAGTGGCAGGGGTTCGAACCCCGGACCATGTGCATGGTCGGCGAGAGTCCTAACCACTGTGCCACCGACGCACATTTATATAATTCCATTACTTTTCATCGCTTCACTTGATGATTAGTAGCAGTGATATTTTCCATATTTCCGATATGAGTGATGGTTCATTAAAAAATCTGCTGACAAGTTCAAAGTCGGTCTCATATACAACTGGAAATGTCACAAATACGGGTGTATTTACGGGTGAATTTAAAGTTTTATAGACTTTTAAACACTTTATGAATCAAAAGTCAATCTGAACGAAGAATATTCTTTTCAATACATCCTTCTATTCAGGTTCTTACAATTATAAAATATAATTAATATTTGTGGTCGTTACAATAAAGATAGCCAGGTATGCGGCGGATACATTTTTTTTTAACGTAGAATAACAGATTAGTAGTTATGGGGTGTCAAAATAAATAGTCATATTTGTGTGACAAACGTGCTAGTTGGCTGAAATCGATTAGAAATATTGTAAAACGGGAGACAATAGTGGTGGTTAATCATAATGGAATTGTAGAGTGTGGGGTAGGAAAATTGACAAATCAGTTCAAGGTTATAAAAGGTGTCAGGCGATGGAGTAGCTAGTACAAAGTGGTCTGTGTTCAATAGGAGATAGTAAGACCGCAATGAGAGGTGGTTCATAATGAAATAACGAATATGTGAAATGAAACACGTGGGGGCATATATTGAGAAAACAGATAATATCACAAATAATAAGTCCGTATAAATGAAAATTCGATAGTATTGAGGGAATGTTTGCATATAGGGCATAAATTATGACGAATAATAATAACAACTGTAATAATAATATTTATAATAATAAGCAAAGTAAAAAAGAAAGAAAAAAACCAAGAGGGTTAAGGGGAAGGAGCACTCTCGGTGAGAAGAAGAATCATCAATCCAAGTTTGGCCACGGTAGGAACAACGTCTGGACGTGTTCTTTTTGGATACAAATTTCCGGTTTTGTCGATCTTATTGCAGTAGCTTCAGCTATGTGTAGGAGATGTAAGTGAACCAACTGCACGTGATGACGACTTCGGTATTTGGTGTATATAACTCTGAAAGCTGTGTTGACATCGATGTGATGTTCACTATCGACCAAGTGTGACAGGATCAAAAGGTATTGCACAGAATAAATCACATTTTTTCAGATAACCACCGTTTTTTAATAACGTTATCCAATTTAATTGAATTTTAGATTTTCCCGTCGATTGATTGATTGGACCGAAGTGCTCGGTCTGAGGTTGACATGTCGGCTTCTTGTGCAGAAGCTTCGACGATGTCTGGGCATTTATTTAGTATTTAGCTGAAGCACTTCGGTCCAATCAATCGACGGGAAAATCTAAAATTCAATTAAATAATCGATATGACCCGTTGCACAAGAGGTGGCCAGCTCTCGTGGCCCAAGTGGTCTAGTGGATAACGCTTTGGCGTTGGAAATTATGGGCACTGAGTTCGAGCCTCGGTGGGAACATCATCACTTACTGAGAAGTGCAGGTACATCCAGGTGACGAGTCCTGAATTCCACTGCTAGCCACCGTCCAACAATTAAACATTATTCAAATTTATAAAAGGGACTTATTGTTGTAATCAAAATGTATTTAAGATTGCAAGGAGCAGTGGGTGGTTCAGGTTATAAGTCGTGTAAATATGAAGACTGATGAAGAGTCCCAAACTAGGACGAAACAGCTGTCCAGTACACCCAGGTTTTCCAATGGTTCTCTAACTAATGTCAGTTCATGATGAAATCCTGAAACAAAGACTAACTGTTTTGGAAAAGGTAAGATACAAAAAGATAAGTATCAAAACAGATTACGTAGAAGATGAACGAGATTGGGCCTATACCGCTTTAGGTTAAAAAAGAGATAGAAGTGACACGCATTCCTGAGGTCGTTGACTGTTAGTTTGAAACCCGCCATCACAAGCTTCTGCGAGTGGTCTCTGCTCTTTCCTTTTGTCTTCATGAAGTTTGAAAATTAATTTGTGCAAAGTATCTCACAGATTTGGGCGTATACCGACACTAATGATTAGACACATGACATTAGTGACTATTCTAGTGACCACTCATTGTGTCTATTTCAGTCCTACATGAGGTTGGCCATGATCCTGAATAGCTACCAGTGATAATGTTTTTAACTACAACCCAAATCGATACGATTTTAAATCTCAGAGGGGATATCAGTTCCTTCGGCGTTGCGGATAATCTAAGTACAGGGCTTTATGCCGATTACCTCTAACCATCTAACATCAATTTAGAGTTCACGTCGATGGCGATGACTTCACCAAGAACTACATAAACGTCACTGGTTACTTTCTAGTGTTCCATATTAGTCTGTTTATTAGATATATCACACAGTGAGGGAAACAGTATTATTTACTAGATGACGTTTCGAACACAATTAGTTGTTCATAATCATATCAATTTTGATCACACGACTTTGAATTTTTAGTTTTATATTTTTCTTTGTTTTCTCCTATTTGTCGTAATGGTAGTAGAATTTTCCAGATATCTGGGACAGGTGTTGAATCATTTCTATTACATGTATTTGCAGTTGATTCGATAAACAAAGCTTCTGTTATCAATCTCTCCCTCCATTCACCCTGTGACATTAGATTTTAAAACTGTCATCCTATCCCATCCATCCTATTGTATGGTTGTGTGGTGTGTAATCGCATGTGGTGAGTGCTATAGCTGAACTATTCTCTAGATTTCTTATCTTATTTGGGTCAATCAATCTCGATTTAGCTGGGTTTTTATGTTCAGCTAGTCTGACTGACTGTCCGTGTTCTACTAGTTTGACCTATGTATTTGACCTCACAATCATTGCAGGCACGGTATAAGATAAACTCAATTGTTTTGTTTTAAAGGATCCACAGAACTGATCCCTTAACCGACAAAGCTTGTTTCTAATTGAGTTTGTGGGTTTGAATCCCAGCCACTTTTCTTCCTGTCTGCCTTGTTAAGAATTCTGCGTAAGGCTTCCGAGGTTCCTTCCTTGTATAGAATTACTGTTGATGATTTAGATTTCTTATTGTTGGTGTCGTCATTAATATTATCATTGTCACTATTATTATTATCACTATCGCTAAAATCATTATTTATTTTATTTTTACATTTACTTACATATTTCTTGACTAATTTATCCGGATAATTATTAAGTTTCAAGGCTTCTTATAAGTGTATCACTTCCTGTCTTTGATTTTCCTTGGTATTACTTAGTTTTTGTGCTCTGTCATTTAAACATTTCACGAATCCTATTTTAACTGACATAGGATAGGATGATTGGAAATCCAAATATCTGTTTGAATGTGTGGGTTTTCTGTAAACACTAGTGTGCTTTGACTTCCCATCTTCTTTCCTTTTTATGTTGCAATCTAACATTGGAAGTTCCCCCGATTCCTGACTTTCCAATTCATAAGTGAATTGAATTGCCTCTACCTTCGAGTTGATGTGTTCGAAAAATCTATCTTGTATTCTTGTGTTCTGAGTACAGTGAATGTGTCATCTATATACCCAAGTTTTACACATATACTTTCTAGTGTCACTAGTCAATATATCTTTGAGTTTCTTCAACAAATGACTCTCCTCCCTACCCACCTACAAAAATGTCAGCTAGCTAATTCACGAACAAGTTGTCTTTTCAGAAATCAAAACATCCAAACAAAACCATATATATATAACCACCACAGTCACTTACTTTAAATCCCGTAGAAATTTCATATAATGATTATCACGAAACATATCGCCGAAGTCATGACGGATGTATGGATTAGAGGGTTGTCGAGTAGAGGAGTTTTCGCCAACAGACCTCCTACTAGGCATACTTTGCTGAAACAGCCTATCCACACCTCCAGCACATTTCGAGTATATATTGTATCTATTTATACCCTTTAAGGGTCCTTCAGCTAATTGACTGATCTATAATAATTAATAATAATAATAACAATAAAATAGAAATTGATAGTAATAGTAATGTATACAGAGTAACTTGGGGGACCTAGACTTTGCCGATGATATATGCATCTGACTTTCCACAAACTGGAAGATATGCAGGTGAAAAGCGGTAGAAGAAGCATCAAAGATAGGACTCCCTTCAGGTGAACATAGATAAAACAGAGGTGATGAAGATTCCTGGCCAACGGAAACAGTAATAACAACAACAGACAACAATCAGCCAGCATGAATGGGAGGAACCTGAAAGAAACAACCTCCTTTACCTACCTACCTGGGAGGCAGCGTTTCAACTACAGGCGGATGGAACTGACGAGGATATCAAAGCAAGGATCGGAAAAGCGAGGCAAGCTTTTATTACTCTCAAGTCTGTGTGGAGGCCAAAAGCACTCAGCATCGAAAATGATATCCGGATTTTCAACTCCAATGTGAAATCAGTGCTACTATACGGATGGATCAGAGACTTGGCGAGTCATAAAGAGCACCTCAAACAAACTACAGACCTTCATCAACAACTGCCTTCGCTCAATACCACTCAAAAGCAGATGACCGGCCAGAAAAGATCAGCAACGGGGATCTCTCTGGCAGTGAGCGAACCAACCAGGAATCGATTGTGCAGCAAATAAGCAGGAAGGAATGGAGATGGATTGGATTGGCCATACTCTGAGGAAACACGCCATCAAGTGACATCACTATACAAGCCCTTGAGTGGACCAGAACGGGAACCGGCGAGTTGGTCGTCAGTGTGAGGGTGACTTGGAGGAGGTCATGTGAAGAGGAGATGAAAGCCTGTGGGCAGACTTGGAGCCAGGCGAAAACTGTAGCAGAGAACCGAACGCAATGGAGACGCGCGGCTGAAGCCCTATGTCTCTTTGGAAATTAAAGGAAATAGTAATAATAAGACAGAGTAACTATAATCTGAAATACTGTGACCCAATAGCCAGTTTTCAAAGTAGAATTTCCACAAAAGTGCCCGAATTCAAAGTGCCGCACTTCATACAGTTATATATATACATAAGTAAAAACACAGTTTCTTTTTTGTTCAGCGGAGAAATTTCTTTTCAACGACTTCATTTTCAAGCCAACTGTACAGTCGTATTTATACTACAGAAAAAGGTTATTAAGTGGCACTAAATAATTGCTCAGTCACTATACATATATATGTGATAAGAATAACGATAATTAAAATGTTATAAGGGGTAGAGTTGAAGTGGATAAATTACAAAATTATTAAAGATTGTTTTATAAGTGGATTGATGTCAAAAATGTTTTAAAAATGTCAAGCGTTATCTAAAAATTTTTAAAAACATTTGGGGTACGATTACGATAAGAATGAAGATGTGAAGTGAAGTGGAATGAATTCAAGTGGTAAAATAAAATAAAAACTAGAAAGAACATTACTATGACCCAGGGTAAAGAAAGGGGTTTGACAAAACGTTTTTGAACACATAATTTAGGTTTCTGTTCATGTATAGCTAAAGCTTCGGCTAGCTATGCATTAGTGAAGAAAACGTAAACTTTTGGATCGACTCGATTTTGCCGTGTAGATAACCTTGAAGGATGAATCACGTGAGGATAAATGACCAGACTCTAACAGGTGATCACAAATAGACGACTTCGCAGTTCTACATTCGTCTTTCATTAACCAAACCGGATAGTGTTCAGCTATACCTTTGCGGAGATTACGCTTACAACGTCCAATATAATCAGTTCCACAAGAGCAGATAAAAGAGTAAATGCACATAGATGTGGACAAAAGGGGTAATCTGTCTTTGACGCATTGTCCAATCATATTTTGGCTGGTAAAAACTAGTTGCAAGTCAGCTGCAGGAAAAGTGCGTTTAATACATTTAGATAAACGATTTTTAATGAATTCCGAAATGGTGTGACTTTTGAATGCCAGACTCATAAACAGTTTTTTCTTTGGCACTATGATTTGTCTAGGGGCGGATTCTTTCTTGATGTTACGTTCAATAAACCTTGTAGGATAACCATTGTTAGGGAGATCTCATCGAAGGTTGTCTAGTTCCCTATCGATTGTCTCTTCAGAGCAGATTTTACGAATTCTAGAGCATAAGGAATGAATAAGATTTCTCTTTCTCCTTAAAGGTACCCAACTGTTGAAGTTAGTGTACTGCCCTGTGAATGTTGGCTTTCAGTAAATCGACCTTAACAGTGTTCCATTCTCTCTTCTAACTAGCTTAACATCAAGAAAGTGAAACGAGGAATTCGACTCTTCATCGACCGTGAAAAGTAAAGATGGGTGAGACCCATTAAATATTCCATGAAGTCCGGCAGTTGAAGAGTTTCCACCACATACAATGAAGTTATCATGAATATATCTTTTATACATAAACAAACTATCAATGGTTCCCGTTAGTGGGCTATTCTCTAAGCTTGCCATGAAGATGTCCGTTATGAGCGGTACTAAATATACATATGACATATATATATATATATATATATATATATATATATATATATATATATATATATATACAGGTAGATAATTAGGATAGAAATCTGAAGAAACTTCAATAAACGGGAATGTCCCACAGCAAGAATAATGAGGATTTAATGAATGTGAGGGAGTGGAAAGAGCGAGTAAATCAGCGTTGCTGGGATCAGTTCCATGCCATAATTTCACCAACACTCTCCAGTAATTCATTTTTAGACATTCAGCAACCCCTTCCAGGTAAACTTTCACCCCACCACCACCACCTATGTGCTTGACTCAAACTAAAGCACAAAGATATCATGAATTGGTGACACATTCTACTACACGCCACGATTAAAATGTGATGGTGGTTTTTTTTGCATCATCGAAACAGCAGTTAACAATCGCACATACACCACACGATAAATTAAAGCAGTTCTCATGCAACTAACTTCCACGTGTTCTTTTGCAGAGATTCAACTGGTTTCAGATAGCGAATTACCCGAAACTAAACAGATGTCGCTCCACAGTTTAGCACTAACTCATCAGCACTATGAACCCACAACTACATCCAACGAATCCATACCAGGACACACACAGGTTGACGGATAAGCTCATCGGACATTATTCTGTTGCTAGGACGGAATCATATGCCTCATGAATTCTAACGTCTGACAATTTGTGATATATTCCATAAACGTCAGTCAGTGTCATCCAAGAGTATTTGTCTTCACATCCAACTTCGGAAGGCTCAACAATAACAACCTCTCATCACTAGGAAGGAAGTCAGGCAACTCCAACCAACTTCTAGTCAGACCCTAGTGACTATTACATTCTTTCTCCATTAATTAGTCTTCCAAGACTTTCAATGGACATTTTTATTCAATGAGAATTCACTCACAAGTGTCTACAATCTTATAAGGTAAGACAGCGAAGTGGTATAAGCAATGCTGATCATCAACACGAATAAACAGAATTTAAGGTAGCTATTCACTCACTCTACGGGTTGCAATGCTCGAGTCAGAGTTATCAATTATTTGGTTGAGGTATATAGTTTGAGACACTGTTCCAGATGAAATCATATCCCTCACTTCAATCACAGCACACACACCCACATATACACACTTCTAAATCCTGAATATCCTTCATTAGTAACAACTAGCCCGATTTCCATCCCTTAAAACCGTTAGATTGTTGCGTCACCTGAAGGTTAGTCGTCAGATCATTCACTTGAATCACGTTTATTTAACTTTGTTATTATTTTATACAAAGATTTAAACAAAATCACTTACAATACGTTGACATTCTCTAGTTTTGTTATCAGTGAATGCACACCACCACGTTGAGCATTGATCAGCACAACATTTAGCGAGTAGATCATTCCATGAACTAATAAGGTGAATTGTGAATAAAACAAATAGATCACACACTGTTATAAAATTCAACAATTCAAGACATTCTCAACAAAATGAAATAGAATGATACATTTCCTGATTGGTAATCAGCGTATAACACATGCTATTGTTGTTGTGGATCCTGACTGAAATCTATCAAGTCGAGTTGGCAGTGTCACATCGTGAAGTCAGGTGAATTGACGCCGAACTGCAGCACCCCTGAATTAATGTTAGATGGTTGGAGGCGACTGGTAAGTAGCCTTGTCTCACTTACGTTTCATTCTTCCTGAAGCTCGTCAGTCAGGCATATAATATAACCCTCTGAGATTAGAATCCGCGTTACTCAAGAGTGTCAACAATCTTGGAAACTAGGTTATGGCCTTCTTGATGATTACCTCCAATCATCTGACACCATTGCAGGATGCATCGCTATGGTGAGTTACCAAATTTGATAACCACATCCAGTCAGCTACACCAACGAGGACTACAAACATGATATTGGCTATTCCCGAGTGTGATCACCCAGTGTGTACCTATTGCAGTCCTACAAAGGATCTATCATGGGCCTAAATACCTCACTGGTAACTTCTCTGACTGCAGTACTGACTAGCATGAATTTAAATCTCAGGGGGGGTAGGGAGGAGGCGGAATCAATTCATTTGAGTTTGCAGATACGCCTTGCTAACTCGTGTCGACAATATCAAGTTAAGAAGACAGTATTTCTGTGAAATCAGATCACTCAATAAAGTACAAAAGGGATTTATGTGAATTACACTGTGGGTCGTGCTTACATAATGTAACACCACCTTATTATCAGTTTGAGTAGTAGTCTCGCAGAATGATGCAGATTATTAGGAAAACGCAAAAGCTGAAATCAACATTTCAAGTCAATGTCTGCAGAGGCGAAAGTGTTCACCCGACAAAATAGGATTTAGTTTACGTTGTGGACATAAATTAACCTTATTGGACAGTTTGCCCAACCTCAGACTGACTGCCAACCAGTAAGAACGGTCTATTTTTTCTTGACGTAAATGTCTTTTAATGTGACGATGTGTTTTCCCTCAATAATAGTCCGTTGAAAATTCTCTTGTCTCCTGGCGTTAGAAGCTTACACAGGATAGAATTCGTAAGCCATTTGCTTGAAAGTCCATTACCGTGAAACTGCGCAGACATAACGGAAAATAGATTGGCAAATCAATGATCATAATAGTCGACTCGGTGTTTACAAGTGATGGATGGAGGAGATCTGCAGTTCTGGTTGATGATGTTGTTGTGATTTATAGATCAAGCTGACGATATTATCGGATAGTTGTATTCTTTGACCTCTGGATGGTTTGTTTGAAAACTTTTGAAATTCTATTTCTAGACAAATTCTTCAGCACAGACTTCAATATGAAGTGAACTTATAGTGAATTCTCTGTCGTTTTGTAGCCAGGCGACTCTGTGTATTCATTCGTCACTGCCACCATGCACACCATCATGTAAGTAATCCTGAGGTCCGGTGACGTGTGTCTGTGTACTGATGATCGACTTCCAATAAACTTTTTCATCTCAGGACTTGTTCTGCAAATGTTTTCCCAATGCTTTCCATATTATTCACTGTTTTCAAGTCTTGACGATCGACTTAAATATTCGGAAGGCTGGTCAGTACGTGATTTGGCATTATGGAATGAACAGTACATGTGTTAAGTTAGCCTCTACCTGTGTATCACGACTCTCTGGTTCGAGTCGTCAATCTGTGACTCGAAACGTTATCAAATATACTTGAGATATTCTTCACAAGTATCCTCACCTCTCTTCATCACACTGTCTCTTGATAAGTCTACATATTGCAATTAATAGTGTTCTCTGAGCTGGTTGGTTTTTTGATTTACAGCTTGATTCCACACTGTATTTTTGGTACAAGTATGGAATTTTCAGCATGGATATCGGTAGCCCAAATTTTGCAGGCCGACCATAGATATCGGGTGTGCGTCGGCAGGGGATCGAACCTCGGACCATGTGCATGGTCGGCGAGAGTCCTAACTACTGTGCCACCGGCGCACAGTGGTGAACGGGACGGCCATTTTGGCCGATGTAATGCCTGTTACACAAGAACACAAATCAGCCGTGAAAAGACACGATATATGTTCTTTAGTATCAACGCATATAGATAATTATGGACATCAATTTGATGACTGGGATAATGTCGAAATCTTAGACAGAAGAAACACCAAAATTGCAGTCAGGGAATTCCTAGAAGCCTGGTACTCAAACGAAAATGCAATTAACAAGCACGTTATTATAGACGACGAAATATACCAACTAATAAAAAGTAAATCAGGTGATCAGAAAGTTTAAAATCCAAGTCAGTAGAAAACGGTCAATACATATCTAAAGATGGTTACCGGGAGACGCAATTATATCACTCATAAAGAAATTTAAATCATTTCACTTTATCCCAAATACTGCGCCGAAGATGTCGTCCAGAAAGACGACGAAAGCTCCGCAACTAAACCAACCAGCTAAGAGGAGAACACTATTAATTGCAAATCATCCACCTGAGCTACAAATCTTCTCTATTATTTCAAGTCTGCGTATTTTCCACGTATTCAGCTGCATTGTTTATGTGTGACATATTATTACTTAGTGGCCATAGTGTATGACGTCTGCGGTGAAATAAAACATTGATAGACTTTGACAAAAGGATCACAAGGCGTAGAAAGCATCAAAAATTTGCAATGCTTATCAACGGAATATGGTATAAGAAACTGTGGTGATTGACAATTTTTATCTCTCTATTGTTTAAATACTTACTGTTGATTGTTAATATATTTCTTTTATGAATTGCATTAGAAATCCGCTAAATAGAAATTCCTGAATTCCGCCCTCTCTGTGTTTTGGTTGGATTCTTGTAATTCGGTCATCTCGAAATACTAATACTACTATTACAATAAATTACTACAAATTGGCGTCGCGATGGAACTAAATAACCTTGGAAAATTTCCTATAAACGGATCACCGCGGTAAATTGCTGATTATCTTGAATGCTTCGATGCATGGTGCATTTCAAAGAATGTTCGGGATGACAAAATACCAGCACATTTCATTACTGCTATTGGGCTAGATGCATATAGCCTAGTGAAGACTCTGGCGTTTCCAGATAAACCCGTTTCTCTGTCATATATCAAGATTCGTGAACTTCTGATAAATCACTTTCATGTAACTACATTTGAGACCAGAGAGAAGGCTCAATTCCATAAACTGGTTCGTGCTCCCAACCAGAGGATTAGAGACTTTATTCTGCAACTCCAAATACAAGCTTCAAAGTGTAACTTTGGAGATCAGCTGCATACTCAACTACGTGATCGTCTAATTGCTGGAATCAATATTCCTAAGTTAGAGAAAGAGTTAATTCAGATTCCTTCTTGTACCTTTCAAACTGCTAAAGATTTATGTATTACATATGAAGATGTCAATAGTGAATACTCTGCTCCCACTACGTCAGTATCTGATGTCATGCTGTCCAAAGTCGAAAATACAAGTGTTCATGGAAAGCAATCCAAACTGTCGTCCACAGGTAATAGAATGCAGCGAGAGATCAAAAACATTAAACCGTGTTTTTCCTGTGGAAAGTTACATCTACGAAGCACTTGCCGTTTTCGGGTGCTAAGTGTCACAAATGTGGTAAAGTTGGACACATCAAGACTGTTTGCAGAAGTTCGAATACTTATGTTGCTCAACATTCTTATAATTCTCCCAAGCTGTCTAGTAAAATGGAGTCAATGTGTCTTTCAACCTTTCAAAATACTCAATCTCATCCAATGAAAACCTCCACTACAAGTTCGGCAACTCAAGAGTCAACTGTTTTCAAAATGAGGTAGCCGAGTTACAATGCGAACTGTCGAAAACACGAGAAGAACTGAATGAGATGAGAGAGCAACTGATTAAAATGGAGGAATTACTGCATATGCATAGACTGCGTCTGTTGAATGCAGAGCATACAAGTACCCATGAAAGTCCTGCAAAACTTTCAAATCTCGAATTCTCAAAAGCATCTGATGTCCGCGACTTCTAATGTACATTATTACAGAGAGAATGACTATAGACCTTCTGTTGGAATCATACTACAAAAATGGGAAATCGAGTGGTGAAGATATTAGACATCAAAGATCACTCAGTTCATAACGGACACCTGGACAAAGTGACAATAAATGAAGTAGGTCGTTCCAATTATAATATTATTGATTCCGCTAATAATCCTGATTTTGTAGATAATTCAGAAATAAGTTCAGATAATACTGATGAAAATGATATCACAGAATCAGTTAGAAGGTTGCAGCTACTTGCAAGCAAACCGAGACATCGTTATAAATACGCAAGGAGACATTCGACGTGTGGCGGATGTGGTGATTGACAATTTTTATCTCTCTATTGTTTAAATACTTACTGTTGATTGTTAATATATTTCTTTTATGAATTGCATTAGAAATCCGCTAAATAGAAATTCCTGAATTCCGCCCTCTCTGTGTTTTGGTTGGATTCTTGTAATTCGGTCATCTCGAAATACTAATACTACGAATACAAATAATTAGAAGAGAAACTCAATGAAGTCAGTCTTCAACACATATGGGCGAAAATCATCAGCAAAAGTGAGCAGATTTTTCTAACTTGGTTCACCAATCAAAGAATGAAATTGATGAATTCACTCAAGACTCAAGATGATTATGTACCTTTCACTGATAAGGTGTCAACATTTTTGAAAGGGCAATGAATGCGTGGATGACGACATCCGTTAAACAACTTATAGAAACGATTAGTTATAAAGAGTCAAAGTAACAATGGGCATATATCGAGAACCTTCAAATATTATACCCCTATTACTACCTCTTTCTTACCTTCCACCAATGAAACCATGATATCTGATATAATATAAAAAGGAGTTATCATTTAATTTGTAACTTGTCAATCCATTACCGACTGCAATACCCTAAAATAATAGAGAGGAGAGGCAAAGAAATTAGAGGGAAGAGAACGTCAGTGGCTTCATAAAGACAAAAAATTAATTATGCGACTGACTGACTGACTTTCCGCATTACACTTTGCACAGAAATGCAGCAGTATTTCATTTGAAAGAAGAGAACACAAAGTTCAGCAAAGGCAACTGTCTTTTCGGCGATTTTACTTCCAAAATCTGTACAATCGCATTTATATATACTTAATTTTACATAGGTACAAGTTTTACTTGATTCCACATAATTACGAAGGCGAATAAAAGGTGACCGAAAAACGACCGAAAGCTGCTACCTTGACATGGTGGTTGGGCTAATGGAAGCATCCTTAACTGAACGTAACGACTTAGGAATCGACTTGTTACCAGGGTATAGTCTTATGGACTTAGAATATGCAGATGACATAGTCCTGTTAGGGGAGGATGCTGACAAAATCCAGCAGAGTCTTCTGAACACTTTGAGCAGCAATCTTCGTATGTTTGGCATGCGATTCGCCCCTACAAAATGTAAGATGCTGCTACAGGACTGGACTACGTCAACTCCTAGCTTAGTGATAGGCAGTGAAGTGAGTGATAGAACATATTGACCTCTTCACCTATTTGGGAAGTTGTATCAGCCAGCGCCAACGGACTGATTGGCGATGAAATCTCACCACGGATCCAAAAAGCTCGAGCTGCTGCTCCAGCTGACTTACACCATCTCTGGCGTAGGCGTGACATCCGGTTATCAACCAAGGGACGTGTGTACTGCTCAGCAGTTCGCTCCGTCCTTCTCTATGGCTCTGAAACATGGCCAATACGAGTTGAAGACATGAAAAGGTTGACTGCTTTCGATCATAGATATCTACGATCTCTGTCTCACGTTAGGTGGTTTAATAAAGTAAGTAATGTTGACGACGTTAGGCGTAGAGTGTTCGGCAGGCAAAGAGGGAAAATCAATCGACGAGGCTATAAAGTTACATAGACTGAGATGGCTAGGTGACGTGGTGCGCATGCCTAACCATCGCCTCCCCCGCCCGACGGGCATTACTAGCTGATATAGGTGGTGCAGGTTGGAAAAGAGTAAGTGGTGGTCAAACAAAAACATGGCCTCATCAATCCATGAAATCCTTGACAGTTAAACTGAGTCAGTCAGGTAGGGAGATGCAGACTTCCTGGTTGGGGCCCTCGGGACTGACTCTAGGAATCAATGGCTGGAGACAATAGGTGACATGGCTCAAAATCGTTGTCAATGGCCAGCGAAGATGTATTCAGTCTCTGTAATCTTTCATATTTCCTTCTACCATTACCCATTCTGTTTCACTCTTATACTTGTCAAACTCTATTGATTCTCTTCACTCATCTTCTTGTCTACCTTTGTGTGCTATTTGGAACGTGGCAACTCGGACTGCTGCACTTCGGTGCCAAGTTCTATGTTGAATCCATACAGAGACAGAGACAATTATTTTCAACTAGATATGGTTTACGAGAAGAGGCTTAGAAACAAAAAATTACACAGGATTAGAACAAATTACAAGTGTGTGTGAAAAAAAATGAGCATGGAAACAAAATTGAAATAATAATTTTCAACCTGAAATGGAAGTTAAGAGGTGTGAATATTGATTGATTACAAAAACTTTAGAAACACAAAAAATTGCACAGGATTAGGATATAATTGTAAAATAGTTATTTTAAACAAATTATTAATGTGGGTAGGAAAAGCATGGAAAATATGAAAATAACTGTTCTTATAACTGAAAAAATAGAGTGACTTGAATGAAGATAGAGAGAATAGGAATCACATACACAGCGAACGAAAAAAAAGATCAAAAAAGAACGGAAAAAAACGGAAGCTAAGGGAACAAACCGAACTAGGTCCATGGTAGTTGTAGAGGTTGAACTAATTTCTTTTGAACACACAGCTCCGGCTTTTCGAGGGCTTCAGCAATACAGAGAAGTTGGAAACATACTGCTTTCAGTAGGTTTCTGTTCACTTTATAAAAATTACTTTGAATGAATCAGTTGACATGTTGTAGGAGTTGTTGATCAGACGTTCAGTAATGGCACTTCTGATTAAACCGGTGCCTCCTCTTTGCGCCTACAACAATCTATGTACGTACCTAGCTCCTCACAAGCAGGTGAAGTAGTATATGCACATTGAATTGGTCATATGCGAGAGTTTGTCCTTCGCCTTGTTTCAAAGTATTGGGCGGCTAGAGGACGTCACTCTTAGCGTTGGTGCATGGAAGGTCTTCTTTAAAGAGCTGGAAGAGTGTTGATTTTATCACACTCCATATGGCACAAGAAATGTTAGGGGACAGCATAAAAGGAGACTCAAGAAAAACTAGAATGAGCGGAAATGTGAAGGAGAAAGTATAGTAACATGATTAAAAAAATACATGGCGGTACACCAGATACGGCAGATTAAAATGAGTGAATATATCTGTCCCGCTGAGAATGATTTTCAGCCATGTCACCACCACCAACAACAACAACAACAGTCACTAGCTACTATTTCTTAGAATGTCAACGACTCCAAACAGTCACAGTGCATCTTCCTTCGTCGATGGTTCACATCAACTGTCCAACAGAGTTCATGAATTAATGCTGTACTCCGTTTGGCTAACGGTTTAGCAATACCAATAGATATGTCTTCAAAAGTATATCGATTGATTTTTCCCTTCCTACCTAACACTTAACATCTAACCAGATTACTACTGATGGTGTTCTATTGTCGTGAGAGTTGTTTGCAAGCCAAAATTGTAGACAATAATTCACTTTAATGTTTACGTCTCAAATCGGGGTCATAAGAAAAAACAAGAACAAAGTCTAACCTTGAGGAACTCCTCAACAGCCAATCACAGCAGACTTAACGTGTGCAAATACGATTTGCAGATATATGGTTTAACTTTCTAAGAAACGGTCACAAGGAGAAACTAATCAGAAGACGTTGCTTCTCTGCTAAAATAACAAATAATAATGTGCATTATTATTATTTATTATTATTGTATCCTTTAGTTCCTAGAGGAACATAGGGCTTCAGCTGAGCACCTCCATAGCCTTCGGTTTTCTGACAACTTTTTCACCCTGCTCCAGGTCTGTCCACATGCTTTCATCTCCTCCTCGCATGACCTCCTCCAAGTCACCCTTGCATTGACGACCAACTCGCCGCCTCCCTTTCGGGTTCCACTCGAGCAATGGCTTGTCTAGTGATGTCACTTGATGGTTTCCTCAGCGTATGGCCAATCCATCTCCATTTCTTTCTGCCTATTTGTTTCACAATCGGTTCCTGATTGGTTCGCTCCCAGAGATCCCTGTTGCTGATCTTTTCCGGCCATCTGATCTTGAGTATTGAGCGGAGACAGCTGTTAATGAAGGTCTGAAGTTTGTTTGAGATGCTCTTTATGACTCGCCAAGTCTCTGATCCATCCGTATAGTAGCACTGACTTTACATTGGAGTTGAAAATCCGGATCTTATTTTTGATGCTGAGTGCTGTTGACCTCCACACAGATTTGAGAGTAATGAAAGCTTGTCTTGCTTTTCCGATTCTGGCTTTGATATCCTCGTCAGTTCCGTCGGCCTGTAGTTGAAACGATGCTTCCCAGGTAGGTGAAGGAGGTTGTTTCTTTCAGGTTCTTCCCACTTATGCTGATTGTTGTCTGTTGTTATTGCTGTTGCTGATGTTGGCTAGGAATCTTCATCACCTCTGTTTTATCTATGTTCACTTGAAGTCCTATCTTCGATGCTTCTTCTGCATAAAAATCTATAAATATCTATTGATTTTCTCAATAAAAACGATCTTCTGCCTGGCTGTTGTCTTCTGTTGTTACACTACCATTTAACAGGAGAAATACGACTTATCAAACACCTCGCCTATTTATATCTTTCACATCGACGTTCATTTCTTACAAGTATAAATTAAGAAAGAGTGAACTGCTACTCTGGAGGTGTGTGTTTTTCGACAGATAGCCAATATTTTATCTACCATGTATCTTAAGCCATGGGTCTGTAAATGACATTTACTCTGTATTTCATATAATAAACGTTGTTGTTGTTGTCATCTCAGTTGTCCGAGTTAAATCTGACTTTTGTATGTCTAATCATTGTGTGTATGGGGGAGGGGGGGATATTTCCCAGTGATTAGATCAGTTGTCTGAAGGCGCATTGCAGTCAGAATCGACAGCACCATTCAACAAAACACTAACATTCCGTTACAACACTGTTTGAAGTAGGTCACCTAAGGACTGACTTTTTTAAGTTTCGTCTTGTTAAATCCACATTAAGAAAGAGAATTTCGGACTCATTCACCGTTCCAAGACTGAATTTCATTGTCGAATAGATTTTGTTAAATACTTGTAGCAGTTGTCTGGGGTCGTAACTATTCTTGTAAATGACGAATTTATCATCTACATAACCTACATACAATGGTCAATTGTCAATAGTCGACTAAAATGAAAGGAATGGAATGCAGAAAGCTAGCAGTGGCTCTATAAGGAGGGTGGTAATCGAATACCACGTCAACAATGATCATTCCATCTCAACAAACGCCTCCTCCTTCAAAGTAAAGAACAACCTGTCAAAGGTAATAAATACAATTTCGTCTCCATTGTCCTGCTAAAGCTTTGGCTATTCAGTTAGACTAACCTTAGCCATGCATTTAAAGGAAAATTATTCACCCGCTTCTACCATCATGAAAACAACCTTGTTGATTTCTACTGACTTGAATTTTCTTTCTTTCTTTGTCTTTCTAACTCCTTATGACTCGTGTACTTCTCTACAACTCTTACGTCATTTCATATTTTCCTTCATTTCTATGTTCATCCTATTACATAACTCTAGTCTACCTATTCAACTCCCTCTATGCATTGGCTAACAGTACTAACAACTATGTTTGTGTGACAACTGATCACTTTCATGAGATGGAAATAGTAAATAAATGAGATTGTTGAGGTGAAGGGGAAAATGAATTCTCTGAAAAGAGGCTCTACGCTGAACTACGTGTTTGGCTATTATCAGTGCCGGAATGGGGATTACTTTTGAATAAAATCACTTTGGCAAATGTACACTTCACGGTAAAAGTTCAGCATACTTCACCTTGGAGACCAAAACTATTCAGGTTACCACAATATTTGATATGTTATGATGAAATGAAAGGGGATCAGGAAAGCAAGCATTATCGGATAAAGCTGTCTATCACCGATTGATCGATATACATAGTTGGATGTTACTCATATTAAAAAGTCTTTGAGGCAAGATTTCACTAGCGGGCAATTTTTAAATTGACAAGTCGACTCAATGTGTTACCACTTCTCCAGAGTACCTAGCCAGTATTCAGATGGTTAGAAAACCGATTAAGCTCTCTCTGACGGGTTGAATCAAGAATAGAGCTGAACGGTCTTCAGATCAATTAGGTCTGGGTGGCTAGCTAGCACTATTGATTGGTGTGAGAGGCATCTGGTCACTCATAATAATCAATCATTAGTATACACTGTTATGTAAAAGGGGGTTATTTCAAAGTAATAAAAAAAGCGAAACTTTGAAAACGCAAACACACATACACACAAACTTACCCTTAGTTTAAATCTTGGTGAATCTTTGAGCAGTAATGCCAGTGTAGGCACATAAACACCACCATAACTCTCACCAGTGACATACAGTTTACGACCTTCATATTCTGGAAACTTGTCTAAGAAATGAAGTAGGGCATGGTGATTATTTAATGCCGTCTATAGTGAGTGGAGAAAAGAAATACAAAGAAGAAGAGAAAATCGAATGAATATGGAATCTCTTAATAATATTCAAACACGGATTATTCCCTTTTGACTACACCATAACATAAAAAGCGTCTATTGCTTGTGTTTTTGAGCAGATAGAGCTGCGATTTGTTGCTTGATGTACTCAACATGCCACCTGTGACGAGTGAAATCGAACTCAGAATAACTCACAGGGTTTCGGGTAGCCCTATAGTAGTACAAGGAATTGACAAATATGCATGCACTTGATGTGCGACACCTCAGTTTTCATCTCGTAATAAAATATTCTGGTGTTATTGGCATTCCTAGAATACAGCTATCCGGAACTGTTTTTTGAGCCACATTTATTCCATGAGGTCTAACGATATTGCCCAGTCACTCACCGAACTGAAATATGAGTATTTCAGTACTCAAGCACCAATATCTCTGAAAAACAGATCACCCAGACCCTTTGTCAAACTCCCACTGTGTGGATATAGTAACACTGGACAGTCAAGTTAATAACTCTTAATCCGACTGAGGCACTAAATGCATCTGAAGTCCAACAATGATATCTACAAACACTTCAAAGCACCCATAACTCATCCACATATCAAATTTAATGTCACGTGCATCAATTTGCCCTTTCTTTCCCTCTAGAATGCCCATTGGCTCACTCAAAACATATTTTAAAGACTCTTTGTGCTTTATTGTGGTCATGAGTTCGTAGCCTACAACAGATAATTCCGTCTTGAGCACTGAAAACTTTGAGAAAGTGATTCACAATGCTGCTTCACTGCCCTCTTTATCACACTTCAAGTCAAGGGACCATCGCACGGGTATGACCTCTTAAAATTACCACCTGCTTCGATTAGGGTATCCCTGAAGTATCTCAGCCTTCGCAGAAATTATGAGTCCATTTTGTGTGGCATATCTCTTGGCGCCTACAATGTACCGAGGGTGCTCGTCCATATGCACATACAGATATATACTGCAGCAGTCGAGGCGGTTATACAATAATTCCAGGTACTATGTTTTATAACGTATGCCTTCCTCTCGCATTGAGATTCTGGGGAAATACGTCCTGCAGTCACATGAATCAATTATATTTAATAGTTGTCTAATTACACATTTTACAACAACCGTTAAATTAGTTATCAGACCCATCTAAAATAAACGCCAATAATACACAATGTCAGTGGGGCAGTAGACAGTGGTAGTCCTTGAAAACTCTACTCACCTCATCATCATCAGTGGTAACATTACCATCAAGAGAATAGGAGAATCCTACACCGGCTGGAGACTCCAAGTAAAGCACATTTCCGAGCTGAAAAATAATAAATTGTGAAGGAAATATTTTGAAATAAGATGCCGAAGGAGAAGATCCTCCATTTCTCCAAAATGGAGAATCACAAAGAATAACTCAAGTGGTGCTCTAACTGATATCAGCTTATGATGAAAAATCCAACCTCCAACCAATCAAACAAAATTCCTACAAAACAGCCAATACTTGAAAATACTCAATATGTTAACTAGTCCAAGCGAAACGGTTCAAAACATATAGAGAATGCATTGTATAGAAAGTGATATTACTTCTCAACATTAAAATTACGACAACTAATAAAGGAATAACTCATAAATGTCAGATGAAAATTTATTCGTTTACCTATTCTACAGAAAAACATCACACAACAGGAGCACTAAACGATCCACTAAGTCGACGACAAATGAGGAGACAAATGAAAACGAGTAGCTGCACCTGTCGCGAATATTAAAAAGCAGCATCCATTACTTCATTATTTGACCACAGTTATTTGAATCCCATTTCTAGTCCCATATGGTATTATATGGTGAGTAATAATGACGTCACATGTCAAGTGTTAGCTAGCTAAGAACCGAAAGTCAATCGATCAGCTCATGAACCTACATCGATTAAGATGGCTAGCACGCGTGTTACCTATGCTCAGTCGCTCCTACGATAGACAATGTTAATTGGCATAAGGTTGGGTCGGAAAGAGTTATGGGTAATCGAACTGAAAACTCACATTGATCCATGAGGTCCCTGAATCTGTTTGAACTAGTCACGTAGGGAAGTGTAAACCCCCTGGCTCCGGTTATCGGGATGCTAATATCTATAGGTGATATGAGCAAAAACGGCAATGATCCACAAAATCAACAGTCCCAAGACACTGCTACTAAGCATTCTATAAACACTAACCAGCTGACCTGTGCATAATTATGTTACTGACAAAAACCACATTTCTAAAAATCAATTGAGATGACGTCAGGTTATGATTTGCAAAATCCTAACTCTCTTCTAGTTTAATTGTGTGTCAGCTAGCGTTACTTGACAACGTAGGCATTGGTATCACACGCATAACATGTACCCTCACCACCTCAATCGATTCACTTTCACAACCTCAAACACTCACTCCTTGCCTAACACATCCCACCTAACCCTAATATTACTCATCATACGTTACCAATTAATATGAGACGCAGAATCCTAATATCTGTGGTCAAAATCAAACAGCCTCTTCTTATCGTTCACACTCAACAGCAATGTCTCATGGCATACAGAAACGTAGTGTCACTATTCACAAATCAACGAAATGAACTATAGATCACTTCACCTTGTTCGCCTACTTACCATCCAACTAAATATTTCGTATGAGAAAATACATCATCAAGACTACTGACATGACTCGTCGAGATCAAAAAACACCTCAGCTAACGATCACAAGAACAGAAATGCAGTAATCGGGTCACCACGACACTACCACAAAATAACATACATGTGACATAATAATATGTCGATATACTCATAAAAGTTTAAGTATCCAATAGATCAGTCAAACGTCACCAAAAAAATAATATTTAGCTTACCTTATTCCAAGAGTATGGATTATTTACAAGACTAGGTCCCTTTACAAGCTGAAATAGAGACAAATAAAAATAACAGTCGATATTTAAAATCACAGATTGAGGTCAAACAATTACAAGTAATACTACTACTGCAACTACTAGAAAATTCCCAAACGAAGCCTTCATTTAACCCACTTGACAATTTGTCAGAGCCAACACAGTATACTGAGATAACGTCTGGAGATTCCAGTGAGGAAGACGCCGCACCATTATATAGTTGACATAGTTGATTACTGCTGGTGTTCCATCATTGCAGCGTGTTTTCCACTTCCACTTCGTTTTAGTCATGTGCACCCTCTCCCTTCCCCCTTACTATCATGAAAAAGAATTACAACGATCTATGAGTACTTCATTTGGCTAAATAAGCATTTCCATTCCAACTTCTCTCAAGAATAAGATAATATTAACACATACCAATGAGGATTATTATGCCTATCGAGCTTCCTTATACGGATATTCCTCAAATATGGCAGACTACTTTAGGACCATTGCAAAGTCAGTAGACAAGTGGGCAAAGCGGATGAAACAACTAATGAAATTAATAATTAAAATAGCAATAGGATGGCATCAAAGGATAACATACTGTTGCCAGTCTGAAGTTAAAAACTGCCCACCAATAATGAGGAGTAATAATTAGAGTAGCTGGGTTGAGAAATCTAAACTTAATAACGATTTTATGTAAGATAAAACTAAACTAAGGTTTACCAAGAGTTGGCCGGCCATTTTCCAGGTTAGCTGAACGCATAGCCAATACATCATGTGAACTCTGCTTAGGCCTTATGTGGTCATTAGACATACAACACGGTTTTGGTCAAATGTATTCCGCGTCAACTCTGGAAAATTATACCCTATTTACCAGAATATAACTTACCATGTATGGACCGTTTTCAGAAAGTAGGCCTTCTAATGATGAGCACCCGGGGCCACCGTTCAACCATAATATCAGAGGTGCAGACTCTGGTTTTGTCTCAGCTTCAACAAGCCAATAATGAATTTGGATTTTGTCACTAACGCCATTAAGGTATCCTGAATATTGTGTGAAGTTCGGTGGGGGCCATACTCCTGGCAAATATAAGATCTTATCTGAATCTCCTGGTTTTTCTCCCCTAACCACAGATATCCAACAACTACTGAAGGTAAAGAGATATGTCAAAACAGTCAAGGTCATACAAGCGTCTGATAGTATATTCAAATTGGGCGCAAATTCTCAATAAGTCCTATTGTGAGCCATTCAAAGTAGGTTTGCTGCCTATGTTAATCATTTTCCTTGAGATTTTTGTACTATGGGAAAATTTTGTGTGTTTAAAGATTCAGTGAATCAAGTGAAGGAGTGGGCTGTTATTCCGAGAGTTCATATCTTGTTGCAAGAAGCATAAATCTACGCTGATATTTTACTGATTATAGCATGTGACATCGGTAGTCCAACTTCGCAGGCTAACCATCGATATCAGGTGGGCATCGGCATCTCGCTAACTTATTGAGCATGTAATATATCATCGTTACAGAACCTGGCCAAAAGATTGCACGATGCTCGCAGTAATTCAACTGTTTCATAAACGTTGTGAGCACCTGGATGCCTAGCAAAGCTGCAGTAGGTTCTTATCATGTGATTCAAATATTTCGGGCAACTAGCTTACGAACTCCAAACACACTAAGTTTAGAAGAATCGACGTTAATGGTACGTCACGAAAACTGGAGGCACATAAGCTGATTAGTCCGTACACTGGTTGATCGTTAGTAGCCAACACTACTACCAAAATAATTACCCAAGCTATCGGCCAGCAATGTGTATTATGGGAAAAAATAGTCGTAGGGTTCAAACGTTTATTTTTGAAAGTGCAGTGAGGCGGGGAACTTCGTCAAGCACACGGAAGAGCATTCATCACTCAATACCGTTCAAAAAATAAGGAGAGCCTTACAAATTATAAAGATAACAGTTCCCAGTCGGTTAATCGTCCCACCTTCCGAGCTCCTTAATCACTAACTACATTTGAGTAATAGTAACATTTTGAGTCGAATGGACTCTACGACCCCTAAGGCTCCAAGCATAGAAACATCTGCACTGTTCCAAACCCACTCAGCTCTATGTTTGCTAACAACCTAACCGTAGTTAGTCCATAGACTTGTATCTATTCAGACTTAGTCTAAGGCTGCTGAATTGATTGATAACGGCTCCCCAGTCAAAAATCATCTCACTTTCTTCCAGTTTGCATGGTAGGCCTGTTGTAAAGTACCAGCTGCTCGCACGTGCAGGTGCATTTGACCGTTTGGTCTGCTTTCCGATCTTCACTGGTCTTCCGTCTTCCTAAAGTACCGTCTCCGCAGAAGTCTTTATTGCGCATATTTCAAATCCCTGTTTCTACGTCCACACGACTGCACTGAATTAAATGAAGGCCATTTATGTGTACTGTTTATACCACATGATACCATAAAATTCTTACATCTCCAATACAACAGTTGTCTGACAGACTAAGTTTCAACGGGAAACTTAGCAAAGGATGCACTCGTTCTGGTTGCCGCACCCCGTGATATTTACGGAATTGAAGGTCAGAAGTAGTTTTAGGGGATTGTGAGTGATTTAAAATATGAACGCAGAATGTAGCTAGGTTCGTGCGATTAAGCTTACTAAAGTGATTGAGTGAGTCTTTGCTATTGACAACTTAGTGAAGTACTGCCTGCAATTTAGAGTGGCCGGTCCTGGGCTCCTCGTGGCGGTCATCTGTGATATTTTGGAATCACACTAGGATAATTTCTCAGAACATTGCCACATATGATGATGCCTGTAAACTGGCGTCCCTCACGTACTGTACCATGAGAATCAATCCATCTATTATTATTTAAATGAAATAAACATTTCTCTGATTTCAAAATAACACATCAATGAACTATTATTCAAGGATTCTGTACACAACAAAATTATGTATGAAAACTGACTTCAAGCTTTATTTTTTTCCCAGGCACTTATAACCCATCCACCAAACACCTGGTTTTTTGTTAATGCGAAGACAATACTTCTGTATTTCCTGATGTGTTGCACTCACTGACAATCTAGCAGATTTTTCCAACTATGCACAGAAATGATTGTACATAAGTGAAAAGGATGTTTCACGTGAACATAGATAAAACAGAGATAATGAAGATTCCTAGCCAACATCAACAACACCAACAGACCACAATAAGCATAAATGGGAAGAACCTGAAAGAAACAACCTCCTTCACCTACCTGGGAAGCATCGTCTCAACTACAGGCGGAACTGACGAGGACATCAAAGCCAGAATCGGAAAAGCAAGACAAGCTTTCATTACCCTCAAATCTGTGTGGAGGTCAACAGCACTCAGCGTCAAAAATAACATCCGGATTTTCAACTCCAATGTGAAGTCAGTGCTACTATACGGATGGATCAGAGACTTGGCGAGTCATAAAGAGCATCTCAAACAAACTTCAAACCTTCATTAACAACTGTCTCCGCTCAATACTCAAGATCAGATGGCCAGAAAAGATCAGCAACAGGGATCTCTGGGAGCGAACCAATCAGGAACCGATTGTGAAACAAATAGGCAGAAAGAAATGGAGATGGATTGGCCATACGCTGAGGAAACCATCAAGTGACATCACTAGACAAGCCATTTCTCGAGTGGAACCCGAAAGGGAGGCGGCGAGTTGGTCGTCCAAGGGTGACTTGGAGGAGGTCATGCGAGGAGGAGATGAAAGCATGTGGACAGACCTGGAGCAGGGTGAAAAAGTTGTCAGAAAACCGAAGGCTATGGAGGTGCGCAGCTGAAGCCCTATGTTCCTCTAGGAACTAAAGGATACAATAATAATAATAAGTAATACTACTGGGATTAACATTTATCAAGTGTATGTATAATCTCCAGCGTACATGTTAAACATATTTTGCTATCGATTGTAAAATGTTACTGAATAATATGGTTCTATTTCTGTATATGTTTCACATGTACGCTGGAGATTATACATACACTTGATAAATGTTAATCCCAGTAGTATAAAACATCCTTTTCACTTATGTACAATCATTTCTGTGCATAGTTGGAAAAATCTGCTAGATTGTCAGTGAGTGCAACACATCAGGAAATACAGAAGTATTGTCTTCGCATTAACAAAAAACCAGGTGTTTGGTGGATGGGTTATAAGTGCCTGGGAAAAAAATAAAGCTTGAAGTCAGTTTTCATACATAATTTTGTTGTGTACAGAATCCTTGAATAATAGTTCATTGATGTGTTATTTTGAAATCAGAGAAATGTTTATTTCATTTAAATAATAATAGATGGATTGATTCTCATGGTACAGTACGTGAGGGACGCCAGTTTACAGGCATCATCATATGTGGCAATGTTCTGAGAAATTATCCTAGTGTGATTCCAAAATATCACAGATGACCGCCACGAGGAGCCCAGGACCGGCCACTCTAAATTGCAGGCAGTACTTCACTAAGTTGTCAATAGCAAAGACTCACTCAATCACTTTAGTAAGCTTAATCGCACGAACCTAGCTACATTCTGCGTTCATATTTTAAATCACTCACAATCCCCTAAAACTACTTCTGACCTTCAATTCCGTAAATATCACGGGGTGCGGCAACCAGAACGAGTGCATCCTTTGCTAAGTTTCCCGTTGAAACTTAGTCTGTCAGACAACTGTTGTATTGGAGATGTAAGAATTTTATGGTATCATGTGGTATAAACAGTACACATAAATGGCCTTCATTTAATTCAGTGCAGTCGTGTGGACGTAGAAACAGGGATTTGAAATATGCGCAATAAAGACTTCTGCGGAGACGGTACTTTAGGAAGACGGAAGACCAGTGAAGATCGGAAAGCAGACCAAACGGTCAAATGCACCTGCACGTGCGAGCAGCTGGTACTTTACAACAGGCCTACCATGCAAACTGGAAGAAAGTGAGATGATTTTTGACTGGGGAGCCGTTATCAATCAATTCAGCAGCCTTAGACTAAGTCTGAATAGATACAAGTCTATGGACTAACTACGGTTAGGTTGTTAGCAAACATAGAGCTGAGTGGGTTTGGAACAGTGCAGATGTTTCTATGCTTGGAGCCTTAGGGGTCGTAGAGTCCATTCGACTCAAAATGTTACTATTACTCAAATGTAGTTAGTGATTAAGGAGCTCGGAAGGTGGGACGATTAACCGACTGGGAACTGTTATCTTTATAATTTGTAAGGCTCTCCTTATTTTTTGAACGGTATTGAGTGATGAATGCTCTTCCGTGTGCTTGACGAAGTTCCCCGCCTCACTGCACTTTCAAAAATAAACGTTTGAACCCTACGACTATTTTTTCCCATAATACACATTGCTGGCCGATAGCTTGGGTAATTATTTTGGTAGTAGTGTTGGCTACTAACGATCAACCAGTGTACGGACTAATCAGCTTATGTGCCTCCAGTTTTCGTGACGTACCATTAACGTCGATTCTTCTAAACTTAGTGTGTTTGGAGTTCGTAAGCTAGTTGCCCGAAATATTTGAATCACATGATAAGAACCTACTGCAGCTTTGCTAGGCATCCAGGTGCTCACAACGTTTATGAAACAGTTGAATTACTGCGAGCATCGTGCAATCTTTTGGCCAGGTTCTGTAACGATGATATATTACATGCTCAATAAGTTAGCGAGATGCCGATGCCCACCTGATATCGATGGTTAGCCTGCGAAGTTGGACTACCGATGTCACATGCTATAATCAGTAAAATATCAGCGTAGATTTATGCTTCTTGCAACAAGATATGAACTCTCGGAATAACAGCCCACTCCTTCACTTGATTCACTGAATCTTTAAACACACAAAATTTTCCCATAGTACAAAAATCTCAAAGAAAATGATTAACATAGGCAGCAAACCTACTTTGAATGGCTCACAATAGGACTTATTGAGAATTTGCGCCCAATTTGAATATACTATCAGACGCTTGTATGACCTTGACTGTTTTGACATATCTCTTTACCTTCAGTAGTTGTTGGATATCTGTGGTTAGGGGAGAAAAACCAGGAGATTCAGATAAGATCTTATATTTGCCAGGAGTATGGCCCCCACCGAACTTCACACAATATTCAGGATACCTTAATGGCGTTAGTGACAAAATCCAAATTCATTATTGGCTTGTTGAAGCTGAGACAAAACCAGAGTCTGCACCTCTGATATTATGGTTGAACGGTGGCCCCGGGTGCTCATCATTAGAAGGCCTACTTTCTGAAAACGGTCCATACATGGTAAGTTATATTCTGGTAAATAGGGTATAATTTTCCAGAGTTGACGCGGAATACATTTGACCAAAACCGTGTTGTATGTCTAATGACCACATAAGGCCTAAGCAGAGTTCACATGATGTATTGGCTATGCGTTCAGCTAACCTGGAAAATGGCCGGCCAACTCTTGGTAAACCTTAGTTTAGTTTTATCTTACATAAAATCGTTATTAAGTTTAGATTTCTCAACCCAGCTACTCTAATTATTACTCCTCATTATTGGTGGGCAGTTTTTAACTTCAGACTGGCAACAGTATGTTATCCTTTGATGCCATCCTATTGCTATTTTAATTATTAATTTCATTAGTTGTTTCATCCGCTTTGCCCACTTGTCTACTGACTTTGCAATGGTCCTAAAGTAGTCTGCCATATTTGAGGAATATCCGTATAAGGAAGCTCGATAGGCATAATAATCCTCATTGGTATGTGTTAATATTATCTTATTCTTGAGAGAAGTTGGAATGGAAATGCTTATTTAGCCAAATGAAGTACTCATAGATCGTTGTAATTCTTTTTCATGATAGTAAGGGGGAAGGGAGAGGGTGCACATGACTAAAACGAAGTGGAAGTGGAAAACACGCTGCAATGATGGAACACCAGCAGTAATCAACTATGTCAACTATATAATGGTGCGGCGTCTTCCTCACTGGAATCTCCAGACGTTATCTCAGTATACTGTGTTGGCTCTGACAAATTGTCAAGTGGGTTAAATGAAGGCTTCGTTTGGGAATTTTCTAGTAGTTGCAGTAGTAGTATTACTTGTAATTGTTTGACCTCAATCTGTGATTTTAAATATCGACTGTTATTTTTATTTGTCTCTATTTCAGCTTGTAAAGGGACCTAGTCTTGTAAATAATCCATACTCTTGGAATAAGGTAAGCTAAATATTATTTTTTTGGTGACGTTTGACTGATCTATTGGATACTTAAACTTTTATGAGTATATCGACATATTATTATGTCACATGTATGTTATTTTGTGGTAGTGTCGTGGTGACCCGATTACTGCATTTCTGTTCTTGTGATCGTTAGCTGAGGTGTTTTTTGATCTCGACGAGTCATGTCAGTAGTCTTGATGATGTATTTTCTCATACGAAATATTTAGTTGGATGGTAAGTAGGCGAACAAGGTGAAGTGATCTATAGTTCATTTCGTTGATTTGTGAATAGTGACACTACGTTTCTGTATGCCATGAGACATTGCTGTTGAGTGTGAACGATAAGAAGAGGCTGTTTGATTTTGACCACAGATATTAGGATTCTGCGTCTCATATTAATTGGTAACGTATGATGAGTAATATTAGGGTTAGGTGGGATGTGTTAGGCAAGGAGTGAGTGTTTGAGGTTGTGAAAGTGAATCGATTGAGGTGGTGAGGGTACATGTTATGCGTGTGATACCAATGCCTACGTTGTCAAGTAACGCTAGCTGACACACAATTAAACTAGAAGAGAGTTAGGATTTTGCAAATCATAACCTGACGTCATCTCAATTGATTTTTAGAAATGTGGTTTTTGTCAGTAACATAATTATGCACAGGTCAGCTGGTTAGTGTTTATAGAATGCTTAGTAGCAGTGTCTTGGGACTGTTGATTTTGTGGATCATTGCCGTTTTTGCTCATATCACCTATAGATATTAGCATCCCGATAACCGGAGCCAGGGGGTTTACACTTCCCTACGTGACTAGTTCAAACAGATTCAGGGACCTCATGGATCAATGTGAGTTTTCAGTTCGATTACCCATAACTCTTTCCGACCCAACCTTATGCCAATTAACATTGTCTATCGTAGGAGCGACTGAGCATAGGTAACACGCGTGCTAGCCATCTTAATCGATGTAGGTTCATGAGCTGATCGATTGACTTTCGGTTCTTAGCTAGCTAACACTTGACATGTGACGTCATTATTACTCACCATATAATACCATATGGGACTAGAAATGGGATTCAAATAACTGTGGTCAAATAATGAAGTAATGGATGCTGCTTTTTAATATTCGCGACAGGTGCAGCTACTCGTTTTCATTTGTCTCCTCATTTGTCGTCGACTTAGTGGATCGTTTAGTGCTCCTGTTGTGTGATGTTTTTTCTGTAGAATAGGTAAACGAATAAATTTTCATCTGACATTTATGAGTTATTCCTTTATTAGTTGTCGTAATTTTAATGTTGAGAAGTAATATCACTTTCTATACAATGCATTCTCTATATGTTTTGAACCGTTTCGCTTGGACTAGTTAACATATTGAGTATTTTCAAGTATTGGCTGTTTTGTAGGAATTTTGTTTGATTGGTTGGAGGTTGGATTTTTCATCATAAGCTGATATCAGTTAGAGCACCACTTGAGTTATTCTTTGTGATTCTCCATTTTGGAGAAATGGAGGATCTTCTCCTTCGGCATCTTATTTCAAAATATTTCCTTCACAATTTATTATTTTTCAGCTCGGAAATGTGCTTTACTTGGAGTCTCCAGCCGGTGTAGGATTCTCCTATTCTCTTGATGGTAATGTTACCACTGATGATGATGAGGTGAGTAGAGTTTTCAAGGACTACCACTGTCTACTGCCCCACTGGCATTGTGTATTATTAGTGTTTATTCTAAAGTGGTCAGGTAGCTAACCTAACGGTTGTTGTAAAACGTGTATTTAGACAATTATTAAATAAAGCTGATTCATCTGACTGAGGGACCTATGTTCCCAGAATTTGAGTAGGAGAGGAAGGCAGACGTTATAAAACGTAGTACGTGGAAGTATTGTATAACCCTACGTGACTGCTGCAGTATATATCTGTATGTGCATATGGACGAGCACCGCTGGTACATTTTGGGCACCAAAAGATCTGCCACACAAAATGGAAAAGTGATTTGTGGTAGTGCGGAGATACTTCAGGGTTGCACAAATGGAAGTGGGTGGCTTTCGTTAGAGGTCATACCCGTTCACTGGGCCCTTGACTTGAAGTGTGATAAACAGGACAGTGAAGCAGAATCACAAGTCACTTTGCCGAGATTTTCGGTGTACAAGACGGACTTATCTGTTGGAGGCTACGAGGACATAACCACAAGGGAGCATACATAATCGTTAAAATATGTTCTGAATGAACCGACAGGCCTTTGAGAGGCAAAGAAAGTGCATATCGGTCGACGTAACATTAAATTTGGTATGTGTGGTTGAGTTATAAATGCCTCAGCAACATTTTGAAGATTTTGTAGGTATCATCATTATACTTCAGATGGATTTAGTGCCTCAGTCGGATAAAGTGTTAATGACTTGATTAACCAGTGTTACTATCTCTCCACACAGTGAGAGTTTGACAAACGGTAAGGTTAATCTGTTTTTCAGAGGTGTTGTTGCTTGGATACCTCCTTGTGTTTTGAAATACTCATATTTCAGTTCGGTGAGTGACTGGGCAGTATCGTTAGACCTCAACACAATAAATGTGGCTCAAAAAACAGTACCGGATAGCTGTATTCTAGGAATGCCAATAACACCAGAATATTTTATTACGAGATGAAAACTGAGGTGTCGCACATCAAGTGCATGCATATTTGTCAATTCTCTCTACTACTATAGGGCTACCCGAAAACCTGTGAGTTATGCTGAGTTCGATTTCACTCGTCACAGGTGGCATGTTGAGTACATCAAGCAACAAATCGTAGCTCTATCTGCTCAAAAACACAAGCAATAGACGCTTTTTATGTTATGGTGTAGTCAAAAGGAAATAATCCGTGTTTGAATATTATTAAGAGATTCCATATTCATTCGATTTTCTCTTCTTCTTTGTATTTCTTTTCTCCACTCACTATAGACGGCATTAAATAATCATCATGCCCTACTTCATTTCTTAGACAAGTTTCCAGAATATGAAGGTCGTAAACTGTATGTCACTGGTGAGAGTTATGGTGGTGTTTATGTGCCTACACTGGCATTACTGCTTAAAGATTCACCGAGATTTAAACTTATGGTAGGTCTGTGTGTGTGTGTGTGCCTGTGGGTATGTGTTTGTGGTTTCAAAGCTCGGCTTTTCTTCTTACTTTGAAATAACCCCGTTTTGGATGACAGTGTGTACTACTGATTGGCTAATATGAATGACCAGGTACCACTCACACCAACCAGTAGTGCTTGCCAGGCATCCAGGTGGAAGTGATCTGGTCTTTTTGGCTCGTTTAAGGCATAGCTCATTGGTAGTCTACCCTGTTTCTCTCATTTCATAGAGCCGAGTCAGTTTACTCCAGTCAAACTCTAGCTAACTACTTTGTCGAACCAGTAATACATTGAATCGAATATGCAACTTGCAAATTGCGCAGTTTGCGATGGAATTTTAGCACAGTTTCCTCTTGATGTGAGTGTTATCAAACTGTGACAACAGAAGACAAGGGCCAGGCGGCAGATCGTTTATTAAGGAAATCAACACATATTTGTAGATTTTCACATACATTACTATAGAGTATTGTCAGTAGAAAAACACAGTCCTCTGATTGGTTGTTTCTCACAGAAAGTTAATCTTGTATCTCTTTGTGGCTGTTTCTTAAATGTCAGATCATCTATATGCTAATTGTATCTGCCTACGCAAAGTCTTCTGTGGGTTGGTTGTTGAATTAGTCTTTGTTCTTGTTTTTTTTTCACGACCGATATTGAGGACACAAACATTGACGTAAATTTACTGTCTACCAATTTGGCTAGCAGCCAGCTCTCACCACAAAACTATTTATTTTAATCAATGAATAGTACGTGCCGTGATGCATCTGTGCTTGCTGCTTTCTTGATTCGCATTTATGCTATCAAACAGATGGAATATTTTTTGATCTACATGGTCCATTTCTATAAAGGGCCCTGTGGAGAAAATTTCACAGTGGACTGCGTGATATGCGAACTTTATAGAAATTCCCTGTATCAGTTTAGTTTTGTCGTGAGTGTTACTTCTGCTTATATTCTGGACTAAAATAAGGTGGGTAGCTACTCCCTTGTATTCTTGACGATATATATACAAATTATAGCGGGAAGCCGTGACCAGTAGGGTGCAGCAGGTCGGGTGTGAGGATAAATACTCGGCGAAAACATTGGCTAGTGCCAGTCGCGCTATGTCCTGAATTGGCAGAATTTAGAATTCATGAGCCATTGGATCGGGCCCCGTTGGCCGATGAATGGTCTACGAGCTGGCCTTGTAACCAGAAGCTTCTGGGTTCGAACCCCAGCGGGGTGGGTGCGTACTGATGAAGAGTCCCAAACCACGACGAAACAACTGTCCTGTATTCTCAGGTTTTCCAATGGTTCTCTAACCAATGTCAGCTCACACGATGAAGTCCTCCAACCAATCAAACATTAATGCAGCGGTATAACGACTTGTAATCGAAAGGAAATACACGTCTTTAACTTGTATAATTATGATTATTATTTCTATTGCTATTATGTAGACGTATTTGAGTAGGGATATATGCTCCATCGGTTTGCTTCCTTGGCTTTTAGACAGTGAGTCCTCAGGTTCAAATCTCACTACACCCACTTCCGTTCTCGAAGTAAGTGGATAGTAAGTTTCATAGAATCCTCACACACGATAGGTAGTGTGGTTCGCAGCCCGTGAAACATCTCTCCCAGCCAACTGAATTCAGACAGCCGACTTTTACAGTGGATAAAGCAATGGATATAAAATCCAGGTCATCCGAATCAACACATTTTAATGTAAAAGATATGAGGCTACAGACATCTACGGTGAAATGAATTTTGTCTCACTTGTGTGACAAATGTGAATATTCCCGAACTTTTGATATTTCATCCTGATAGTGGACCGTTTGCGATTTAACACTTAAAAGTGTATTCGTTTTTACGTTCAAGATTAGTTAAACGTTAATGTAATGTGAATAAGAAGAATACGAAATATATTTTTCATGAAGGATTAGTAGTCATAAAGTTGGAGTTTTAGTGTGGACATATTTTCGGTGATTGTAAGTTATACAATCCCTAATGCAATAGTGAAATACGCCTGATTCGTCTATCTATTTACTGATGAGTGATAATTTGAAAGAAGGTTGTTATTTAGTGACACTACGAAGTTGCTCCCCTAGCCAGCCCCCCCTTCACTGTCGTCGTCACTGAAGTTAGTGGGACAAAATCCGAACTCTGAACTTTTACGGCTGAAAGGGTAGTGCTTAGGTTGATGGATTGAAGGTGTAGCTTATTGCCTTGCCTTAGGCAATCAACATCCCCACCACCTACTTCATGTTGGTGGTATCATCATCAGTCCTCACACACACACACACACACACACAATAAATAGTCTGGCTCATAGCCTGCTTCATGGGATATTTGCCTCTGGTAGTTGTGTTCAGTCTGTCTGCCGACTGGTCGTCCATATATCCAATTCAGTTTTATTCACGAATTCAGTAATACAAAAATATGTTAGTAGTTAAAGGTTTATTCTAAAATCTTCTTTGTGTATGTACGTACGAGTGGACGTTGATGAAACAGTTTAAAAAATTCTCTAGTTTAAAATTTTTTAATTGGTAGTGGGATTTCATCATGAGCTGACATCAGTTAGAGAACCATTGGAAAACCTGGGAGTACTAAACAGCTGTTTCATCCTAGTTTTTGGGACTCTTCATGAGTACGTACCCATCCAACTGGGGTTAGAACCCAGGAACTTCTGGTTAAAAGGCGAGCTCGTAGACCCTTCATCAGCCACTGAGACCCGATCCAATGGTCAGTGCATGAATTCTAACTTTTGCCAATTCATGACATTGCGCAACCACTTCGCAATGTCTTCTTCGATGGGTGGTTACTGACTCGCCCTGTAACCAGGAGGTTCAGGTTTCGAACCTTAGAGGAGGTGTGGATGCGTACCCAAAAAGAGACCAAAACTAGGACGAAATAGCTGTCCAGTACTCCCAGGTTTTATGATAGATAGGTAGCTTGATGAGTCTCTTGGAAGTAGTGCTATTTTTCACCAATCAAGGGGATTATCGTGAGACTGTAGATTTACGAAGTTAAAATACAACAGAGACGCATCTGCCTTCAGTTATTCCTCTTCGTCACTTATTATCATAATGTTATCTATAGAAGGCTTATTCGTGCAATAAATATCTCTGTTAAATAATTTCTATGTTCATTTGTGTATATTTTATAGCTGAGGTTAGAATGCGGTGCTATAACTTTATTACATGTCATTGCCTATTGTATTCCTATGGATTCCTAGTGAAACAAAGCGAGAGCTTCAGGCTAGATCATTATAATTCTATTAGCAGTGATGTGATGTTTGTTTTCTACGGGGTGCAGGGCTGCGAATCTCACGTCTGATGTTCTAACATTATACCGGGATTACAACTTGCTAAGTGAGGTTAATGAGTGCATCGGCCGACAGACTGAACGCAGGGACTATACTTGTATTTGGCAAATATTGTATCACTGAACCATCGACGCACCTATTTCATGATGATGTCATGGAATTGAATCTATTGAGATGGCTAGGACGGTATCCATTACCGATGATGAGCTGTCGCCTTCCCTGTCAGGTAATGATTACTGGCATAGAATTAGGTTATACATGACTCAGGGGCGATCAAACGAGTAACTGATATCAGTTCACAAAGTCGTTGATTATTGATTTGAGCCAGCCACACAGTGGTGTATAGAGACTGCGTGGTTGGGGTCCTGGAAATGCTAAGATTTTATGACTGAAAACAGTTACCAGCTGGCAGTGCAGATGCATTCAGTGTGTGTGCGATCTCCAAGATCTTTTTATGTCCTTTAATGTAATCATTCCCCCTTTCTGTATATTTTCAGGGCGTTATAGATCCTTTGAAGTTTTTCTCTACCTTTATGTATGACGTATGGAGTGTGGTAAAATCAAATGGCTGAACTTCCGAGGAAATCAGTCAGTCAGCGCTATGTTAGTATGAAGATGTTGACTTTCAGTTCTCTTTACTATCTTGTTTCCTCTGTATCATTTTAGGGTATTGCGGTTGGTAATGGATTGACGAGCCATAAATTGAATGATAACTCCCTTTTATACTTTATCAGGTATCATGGTCTTGTCGATGAAAGGTAAGAGGGAATAATAACAATGATGGTAACAGTATAATATTTAAGTAATTAAGGTATACCCATTGCTACTTTAACTCCTTATACTAACGGTTCGTTATCCACGCACTCATGGTCTTTGCCAGTTGGCAAATATCAGTGAAAGATAGTCATAGGACCCAGCATAAAGTAGTATATCATCCTTTCTCACTCATTGTGTGATTTATCTTGTGATGGAGTTACTATGTTAAGATCGTATCATTTCTCACGCATATTATGATTTAGCATGTGACCAATTCATCTTCCTTTGTCTCACCTTAATGTTTGTCTGACCACCGACCAATCAGGATAGACATATCCAATCAATAAGAGCAATACATTCCCACAGTCGTCAGTCGACTTTATTATGGTTAGGAAAATGCAAAAATATCATGTATATTGTTTCCTAAACTACGTCGCGTAGTACAGTACAATAAAATATCTTACATTCACAAACAGGCTTTTGTCTTTTGATATTTGCGTGACTCAGTGAATCGGAAGGTACAACGGACAAATAAGCATAGTATATAGCGTACCAGTCAAGTTCATTACCGTTACAGTTAGTAAATTAACAGGGGCAGACATAATAAAGTAGCAACGGATTCATTAAGTTCAGTTCAATTATAACAAAATGGGCAACAGAATTAATAAAACAGGTATATCTTCCGTCTTGAGTGAATTCATCAATTTCTTTCTTTTTAATTGAATTTTAGATTTTCCCGTCGATTGATTGGATTAAAGTGCTCGGTCTCAGGTTGACATGTCTGTCGGCTTCTTGTGCAGATGCTTCGACGATGTCTGGGCATTTATAATTAGAAGTTAATTAATTGGTGGATGGGGACTAGCAGTGGAATCCAGCCAGGATAACGCGCATTTCGTCCTATTTGGGACTCGTCAACTGGGACGGAGCACTTCGGTCCAATCAATCAACCGACGGGAAAATCTCAAATTCAATTAAATAATCAATATGACACGTTGCACAAGAGGTGGCCAGCCCAACTGGTCTAGTGGATAACGCTTTGGCGTTTGGATCTATGGTCACTGGGTTTGAGCCTTAGTGGTGGGAACATCATCACTGACTCACTGGGAAATGCAGGTACATCCGGCTGGCGAACGAGTTCCAAATAGGACGAAATGCGCGTTATCCTGGCTGGATTCCACTGCTAGTCACCATCCACCCCTTAATTTCTTTCTTTGATTGGTGAACCAAGTCGGTAAACTATGCTAACTGTGGATGCTTTTTGCACATATGTGTTGAAGACTAACTTCATCGAGTTTATTATGCCATATTCCGTTGTGAAGGATTGTAAATTTGTGGTATTTTCTACAGCTTGTGATCCTATTGTTAGAGTTTATCATTGTTATATTTCAACGTAGACGTGATACAATATGGGTGCACCAGTGGATAATATGTTGTCACACATAAACAATAGAGCTGAATACGTGGAAAAGACTTAGACTTTTATTGAGAAACAACATCATGAAGAGAAGTGAGAATACTTGTGAAGAGTATTGAAGGAGCGTTTAAAACTTCATTTTACTTTGAGAAAGTTTAAAAAAATGGGGACAATACAGTTTAAGTGATAGAGGACAAAAACTAACTGGTACTAAAGAGAATCTTAGACAGGCAGTGATACACATAAAAGAAGCCTTGAAACTTAATAATTACCCGGATAAATTAGTCAGGAAATATGTAAGGAAATGTAAAAATAAAATGAATAATGATAGTAGCGATAGTGACAATAATTATAGTAATAATGACGACACCAACAATAAGGAATCTAAATCATCAGTAGTAATTCCACACAAGGAAGTAACCTCGGAAACGTTACGCAGAATTCTTAAAAAGGCAGGTATAAAAGTGGCTGGGATTCAAACCCACAAACTCAATTAGAAACAAGCTTTGTTGGTTAAAAGATTAATCCTGTGAAGCCTTTAAAACAAAACAATTTAGTTTATCTAATACCCTGCTGGAATGATTGTCAGGTCAAATACATAGGTCAAACTAGTAGAACAGGGTCAGTCAGACTAGCCGAACATAAAAACCTAGCTAAATCGAGATTGGTTGACCCGAATAAGATAAGAAATCTAGAAAATAGTTCAGCTATAGCACTACATGCAGTCACACACACCTAACCATGCAATAGGATGGGATAGGATGACAATTTTAAAATCTAATGTCAAAGGGTGAATGGAGGGAGAGATTGATAACAGCGGAAGCTTTGTTTATCGAATCAACTGCAAATCAACACGTGTAACAGAAATAATTCAACACCTGTCCACCCAGATATCTGGAAAATTCTACTACCCCTACGACAGATAGGAGAAGACAAAGAAAACTATAAAAATCAAGTTTCAAAGTCGTGTGATTATAATTGATGAAATGATTATGAACAATAAATTTTGTTCGAAAGGCGTCGTCATCTAGTAAATAAAACTGTTTCATTGGCTGTGTGGTACATCTAATAAACAAACTGATTATGGAATGACAATACAGTTTGTCACCCATTGGTTACAATTCTCAAGTGTATTTGATAACGTTTTGAGTCACAGATTGACGACTCGAACCAGGGAGTCGTGATTCACAACTTTTGTTCATCTCATGATACCAAATCACGTACTGACCAACCTTCCAAATATTTTGGTCGATTGCCAGGGCTAGAAAACAGTGAGTAATATGAGAGCGGTTGCGGTGACTTCTATAGAACAAGTCCTGAGATAAAACGCATTTGTTCGATGACAATCATTAGTATGTAGACACACGTCACTGGACCTCAGTATTACTTACATAATGGTGTCAATAATGGCAGCGACGACTGAACACACACAGAGTTGCCTGGCTACACGACGACACAGAATTCACTATAAGTTCACTTCATATTGAAGTCTGTGCTGAAAATGTCGTCTAGAAAGAGACGTTGAAAGCTTGTCACACAAACTATCCAGCAGTCAGAGAACGGAACTAAACAATACTATCGTCAGCCTGATTTACAAATCACAACAATGTCATCAACTAGAACTGCAGATCTCTTCCATCCATCACTTGTAAACACCGAGTCGACTATTATAGTCACTGATTTCCCAATCTGTTTTCCGTTATGTCTGCGCACTTTCACGGTAATGGACTTTCAAGCAAGTGACTTACAAATTCTATCTTATGTAAGCTTCTAACGCCAGGAGACAAGAGAATTTTCAACGGACTATTATTGAGGGAAAACACATCGTCACATTAAAATACATTTACGTCAGGATAAAAATAGACCGTTCTTACTGGTTGACAGTCAGCCTGAGGTTGGGCAAACTGTCCAATAAGGTTAATTTATGTCCACAACGTAAACTAAATCCTATTTTGTCGGGTGAACACTTCCGCCTCTGCAGACATTGACTTGAAATGTTGATTTCAGTTCTGGCGTTTCCCTATCAGTCTGCATCATTCTGCGAGACTACTACTCAAACTGATAATAAGGTGTTACATTATGTAAGCACGACCCACAGTGTAATTCACTTAAATGCGTTTTGTACTTTATTGAGTGATCTGGTTTCACAGAAATACTGTCTTCTTAACTTGATATTGTCGACACGAGTTAGCAAGGCGTATCTGCAAACTCAAATGAATTGATTCTGCCTACCCCCTAACCCCCTGAGATTTAAATTCATGCTAGTCAGTACTGCAGTCAGAGAAGTTACCAGTGAGCTATTTAGGCCCATGATAGATCCTTTGTAGGGCTGCAATAGGTACACACTGGGTGGTCACACTCGGGAATAGCCGATATCATGTTTGTAGTCCTCGTTGGTGTAGCTGACTGGATGTGGTTATCAAATTTGGTAACTCACCATAGCAGTGCACCCTGCATTGGTGTTAGATGATTGGAGGTAATCATCAAGAAGGCCATAACCTAGTTCCCATGATTTTTGGCAATCGTGAGTAACGCTGATTCTAACCTCGGGAGGTGCATCAGTTCTTGAAGGTTTCAGATATGCCTGACTGATGACGATTGCGAGAGTAAACGAAAGGCAGGTGTGATAAGGCCGCCTAAGGTTGTCTCCAAACACCTAACATTAATTCAGAGGGAGCACTGAGATGTGAATTCACCTGACTTCATGACGCGACGCTGTATACTTGACGTGACAGAACTCAGTTAGCCTCCACTCAACAGTACGTGTAACCCTATGATTACCAATCAGGAAATGTATCATTCTAGTTAATTTTGTTGAGAATATCTTAAATTGTTGAATTTTGTAACAATGTGTAATCTTTTTCTTTTATTCACAATCCACCTTATTAGTTCATGGAATGATCTAGTCGCTAAATGTTGTGCTGATCCATGCTCAACATGGTGTGCATTCACTGATAACAAAACTGGTGAATGTCAACGTATTGTAAGTGATTTTGTTTAAATCTTTGTATAAAATAATAACAAAGTTAAATAATCATGATTCAAATGAATCAGCTGATGACTAACCTTCAGGTGACGTAACAGACTACTAGTTATAAAGGATGGAAATCGGGCTAGTTGTTATGAATGAAGAGTGTTCAGCATTCAGAAGTGTGTATGTGTGTGTGCTGTGATTGAAATGAGGGATATGATTTTATCTGGAACAGTGTCTCAAATTATATACCTCAACCAAATAATTGATAACTCTGACTCGAGCAGTGTAACCATAATGGACAGCCGTGAACGGTGAATAGCTACCTTAAATTCTGTTTATTCGTGTTGATGATCAGCATTGTTTATACCACTTCGCCGTCTTACCTTATAAGATTGTAGACACTTGTGAGTATATTCTAATTGAATAAAGATATCCATTAAAAGTCTTGGAAGACTGATCAATGAAGATAGAATGTAATACTCACTAGGGGCTGACTAGAAGTTGGTCGGAGTTGCCTGACCCCCTCCCTAGTGACGAGAAGTCGTTACTACTGAGGTGCTCGAAGTTGGATGTGAGGACAAATACTCGCGGATGACACTGACTGATGTTTATGGAATATGTCACTAATTGTCAGACGTTAGAATTCAAGAGTCATAAGAATCCGTCCTAACAACTGAATAATGTCTCATGAGCTTATCCATCAACCAGTCTGTATGTCCTGGTATGGATTCGTGGGATGTAGAGATTAATTGCATGTGAAGTGCTTCAATGTAAAATGTAGAGTGTGTGATTGTTAACTGCTATTTCGGGGATGCAAAGAAAACCACAGTTACATTTTAATCGTGGCGTGTAGCAAAATGTGTCACCAATCCATGATATCTTTGTGCGTTGGTTTGAGACAATCACATAAGTGATGGTGGTGGGCTGAAAGTTTACCTGGATGGATTGCTGGATGTTTAAAAATGAGTGACTGGAGAGTGCTGGTGAAATGATGACACGAACCTGCTCGCAGCAATGCTGATTTACTCGCTCTTATTTTAATCCCTCAGATTCATTAAATCCTCATTATTCTTGTTGTTGGACATTCCCGTTTTTATTGACGTTTCTTCAAATTTCTATCTTAATTATCTACTTGTGTGTATACATGATTGAATGAAGTGTGGCACTTTGAATTTGGGCACTTTTGTGGAAGATTCTACTTTGAAAACTGACTACCTGGTCACAGGATTTCAGATTACAGTTACTTTGTATGCATCACTATTACTATCAGTTTCTATTTTATTATTATTATTATTAATTATAGATCAGCCAATTAATGGAACTGGCTCTAAAAGGTATAAACAGATACAATTTATATTCTGAATGTGCTAGTGGTGTAAATACATTATTTCAACAAAGTATGTCAATGTCGATTGCTGAAATATCCTCCAGTCTACAATCTTCAAAAACGTATCTCTGTCATAATTTCGGTAGTATGTTTCGTGATAATATTTATACGAGATATCATCGTTATGCAGAGTAAGTGGCCACCAATCTAGGTAGCTCGCCATCACGATGCACATTGATTTCATGATATATATTAGATAGTTGGATGCAATCGGCCACAGGAAGCCTTCCCTAATCTAGGTTTCGTGCTAGTTGGCACTCATCAACAAGGCGTATCTGCAACTATTGTCAGATTATCAACTGTCTTGTATTCACGAGTGTTTTTCCTTCACGTTCCCCAGTGGAACATAGAGCTTCAAGCTAGTGGCTTGAAGTTTCTGTAACAGTGTTTATTTAACAGAATGGGCTTGCTACCCTCATGCCCCCAACCTTTCCTCTTTACAAGGATTATTTCAGGCTCAGCAAGGTAAAGGAGTGCGTCGGCCGGGGATTGAACGTGTCGGACTATGTGCATGGTCGGCCGTGCCACCGGCGCATTCATGAGTTGATCACGGATTAATATCAGTTAGAGAACCATTGAAAAACAGCAGGGGGTACAGGACAGCTGTTTCATCCTAGTTTTGGAATCATCGACAGTACTCACCCACTGCTTGGGTTCAAACCCCAGGAGGACCTTGCGGTTACAAAGCAAGCTCGTACATCATTCAGCCACTGACACCGCATTCAATGACCCATGAATTCTTACTTCTACGAATTCGTGATTTAGCGCGACCATCAATCAGTGGCATTGGTGGGACATCTATTCTCACACTTGACTGGATGGACCTCACTGGTCACGATATCTGTGATATCAGTCGAATCCCAGTGGGTGCGTACTGCCAATGATTCTAAAATTAGGATGAAACAGCAGTTGACACTGGTTAGAGAACCATTGGAAAACCAGCTAGGAATACTGGACAGCCGTTTCGTCCTATTTTAGGACTCTTCATGAGTACGCACCCACCCCGCTGGGGTTCGAACCCAGGACCTTCTGGTTACAAGGTGAGCTCGTAGAGACCATTGAGCCACTGGGAACCCAAAAGTGCTATAATGAGCAGAAATGTAAGTTTGGAAGATTAGTAACACGGAAAAACACGAGGATTTAAAAGATCATGGAGGTCACCAAAAGTGAATGTGTGTCTGCACCACTGAAATTGATTTCAAGCCATATCATGAATAGTGTCAAACATCTCAAAGACACAAGCTACTTAGTCTGCACCAGCCTACTTGGTTAACTCAAACCAAATAGTCAAAGCCTTCATGGATTAAATTCCACGTTTTGATTAGACCGCTGTCAACTCTTTTTGCAACCTACTCGTATATCAGCTAACACTGCTTGACTAGAAAGGTGTAACACAACATGTTCTAGAGATCTCAATCAATTCATTCATATTCATAATCTCATTGATTGACTTCCCTTCCTTATCTAGCACTCTACACCCGTTCTCAATATTTCTCCTCATATTACACCACTTAATAGAGAAAACGAAGCCCAAATGTACTATGGTCAAAGACAGTTGGCGTTTCGATATCTTTTACATTCAGTGACCATGTCTCACAGCCATGAAGAGAAGGGTAGTGGGAAGTGGTGTTCAGTACTCACGCCTTTTCATCAGTAGTCGAATGTGACGTATATGCTAAGGATGACATTGTAAAAACAGAAGGCAAGATTCAGGAGCCAAGGTATATTTTTCATTAGTCAAAACGCTGGTCATAGATCTACAGTTTATATTCGTTAACCAATTCGTTAACTGAGCATGTGATTTCCGTTAACATCAAACGACATGAGATAGAATGTTCAAATACATGCTTCGTATTCTGTTGCCAATGGTAGTATTGAATTCTGGGAAAGTATTCAGTCTTTAACGTGAAATAGAATGTTCAAATAGATATATCGTATTCTGTTGTTAAAGCTGAATTGAACTGTAGGAATATATGACAATAATATTCCGTTGGCATACATTGTCTGTATTACACTACCACAACATATAAGTTGTCAAACGCCGCATAAGCCTTCTGTAATCGTGCTGAGGATTTATCAGCAATCAATCAATTGTAGCTGATTATTATTATTGTTCCCTTGGGTTCCTCCTAGTGAAACATATGGCTTCAACTGCACATCTCCACTTGCTTCGGTCTTCCTTCTGCTGTACTTTTTACCTGCATCCATGTTAGTTAGTCCATACTGTTTCAACTCCTATTCACACGATCTCCTCCATGTCATCCTTGCACTGACGTCCCACTCGCCGCTTCCCTTTCGGCCTAGTTCCACTCGAACAATGGCCTGACGCTCGCGCGATGTCACCCAGCGGCCTCCTGATCAGCGATTGTCCAATCCATCTCCACTTTCTCCTGCATATTTGTTGGTTGGAGATTGTTTTGTTTGTTCCCATAGTTTCTTGTTGGTGATTCTTTCCGGCCCGGCCATCTGATCTCCAGTATAGAACGAAGACAGTTGTTGGTCGATAAAGTTCTGCAACAGGCTGTAAACAAAATTGCTACAGAAACTTCAGCACGATGAACCTCTTTGCACCAAAAGAAAAAGTTTGTGTGGGGACATGGAACGTCCGCACTATGTACGAGACTGGTAAAGCTGCCCAGATCGCAAACGAGATGAAAAGATACGGAATCCAAGTACTGGGAATATGTGAAAGCAGATGGAATGGGAATGGACTCACCAAATTGTCAACGGGTGAGTCAGTGATCTACTCCGGTCACCCAGAAGATAACCACACGCACACCGAGGGCGTGGCTATCATGATGTCACCAACGGAAACAAAGGCCCTGATGCAATGGGGGGCGATCTTGTCCAGGATAATGACCGCCAGATTCAACTCCAAAGGAAGGAAAGTGTCAATTACACAATGTTATGCACCCACAAACAACGCAGACCTCGAAAAGAAAGAAGAATTCTACAGATAACTACAGGCAACAATGGACAATACTCCAGCTGGCGACATGAAAATACTAATGGGAGACATGAACGCCAAACTGGGACCAGACAACACACGAAGGGAACTCATCATGGGTAGAGAAGCTCTCGGAGAAATGAATGAAAATAGAGAACTCTTCGCCGACTTCTGCGCCTTCAACGAACCAGTGATTGGTGGCAGTGTATACAAGCACAAAGATATCCACAAGGCTACATGGGTGTCACCAGATGGGCAAACCAAAAACCAAATCGACTTCATCTCAATCTCAAGGAAGTGGAGGCGCAGCCTACTGGACACAAAAGCAAGAAGAGGAGCAGACGTTGGCTCAGACCACTATCTCGTACAAGGGACAATCCAAATCAAATTAAAAGCTTTCAGGGAAACAGGAGCTGCAGATAGACCACAAGCCAAGTTCAACACTCAAAAGCTGAAGGACCAGGCTACAAAGGACATCTTCATTGCAAGCATAAAGCCGAGACACAAATCAACACCAGAGAAAAGGTCAGCGTCGAAAAGCACTGGAACAACTTGAAAACGGTGTGGAGTCAAACCTGCATGGAAGTTCTAGGCAGAAAGAAGAGACAGGACAAACAGTGGCTCACTACGGACACTTGGAAACTAATAGAAGAGAGAAGGATAGTGAAACAAAAGATTATCCAGTGCACTGACGAGCAACAAAAACAGGAGCTGAATGCAAGCTACAATACACTGAACAAAAGAGTGAAGAAGAGTGCCAGAGAAGACAAAAGAAAATATTATGAAACCATGGCAAACGAAGCAGAACAAGCTGCAGGCAAAGGAGACCTCGCCACACTCTACCAAACAACTAGGCACCTATCGGGAAAAAGTTCGACACAGATTAGGCCAGTAAAGGATAACATTGCAAAGTCAATCACCAAAGAAGTGGAGCAAAGAAAACACTGGGCTGAACACTTCAAAAGACTCCTAAATCGACCACCACCTACAACGCGCCCAACAATACCAACAACGGAAGGAGAACTACCAGTGAGCATTGACCCCCCGACGAAATCAGAAGTCCTGAATGCAATCAAGATGCTAAGAGCTGGGAAAGCACCAGGACCAGATGGAATCCCAGTAGAAGCTTTGAAAACAGACCCAGAGACAACAGCAGACTTGATGCCGCCACTGCTGGAGAAGGTGTGGAAAGAGGGCAAAGTACCCGAGGATTGGAAGAACAGATACTTATTCAAACTACCAAAGAAAGGAGATTTAAGTCAATTCAAAAACTGGCGTAGAATTATGCTCCTGTCCATTCCAAGCAAAATACTAAGCCTCATCATCCTGGAGAGAATCAAACAAGCCCTGGATGAAAAACTTCGACCGGAACAAGCTGGATTCAGGAGAAACAAATCATGTATTGATCAAATCGCCACTCTACGGATCATCATTGAACAAAGCTTGGAATGGCAGTCACCTCTCTATCTCAACTTCACCGACTTTGAAAAGGCCTTCGACAGCGTCGATCGAGAGGTCATTTGGCAACTACTTCGCTACTACGGGGTCCCATCGACGATTATACATCTCATCCAACAGTTATACGACAATGCTGCATGACAAGTAATCCACAACGGGAAACTTACGGAAGCCTTCGAAGTGAGGACGGGAGTGAGGCAAGGCTATCTGCTATCGCCAATGATTTTCCTGATTGCAGTAGATTGGATAATGCGACAGGCACATAGTGGGCAATGAGGAAACAGGCATAAAATGGACTGACACAAAAAACTTGGAGGATCTGGACTTCACCGATGTGATATATGTGTCTGATTTCCCACAAACTGGAAGATATGCAAGTGAAAAGCAACAAGTTGGGAGAAGAACCATCAAAGATAGGACTTCAAGTGAACATAGAGAAAACAGAGATGACGAAGATTCTTGGGAAACACCAACAGCCACAGCAACAACAAAAGCAGACAACAATCAGTCATCATAAATGGGAGGAACCTGAAAGAAACAACCTCCTTTACCTACCTCAACTACAGGCGGAACTGACGAGGATATCAAAGCGAGGATCAGGAAAGCAAGACAAGCTTTCATTACTCTCAAGTCTGTGTGGAGGTCAGCATCACTCAGCATCAAAAATAAGATCCGGATTTTCAAATCCAATGTGAGGTCAGTGCTACTATACTATTCAGAGACTTG